TTTTTATCTTTAATCTTCATTTTAAAAAAATTTTTTATTTTTTAAGTTTCTTGTCTTTATTAGTTTTCTCGTCTGAGTTTTTAAAATTATATTTTTTTATTTCATTATTAATTATATATACTTTTAATTAAAAATTTTTATAAATTTAAAAAAATTTTTTTTGTTTCATTTTAATTTTTAAAAAATTTTTCAAAATTTGTTTCTTAAGATTTCCGTCTATATTGTAACTAACTTCTGGCAGCAGTCGGGAGTATATATATATTTTTAACACATTTTTATTAATATCTTATTTATTCCCCGACTTATTCGTGTATATGAAAAATATAATATAAAAATCAAATAACAAAAAATAATTTCTTATTCATGTATATAAAGTACTTATATAAAGTACTTATTAGTTTTACATCGTTCAAAAGAATCCGTCAAGCAATTTAGATATTAGTTATATCAATTTTGATCTAAGAAACAGCATTCATTACAAAATTATAGTGTTATTACAAAATTATAGTTTCTAAAGATGCGTACAGTATGATTAATAATACTTTAATGTGTAAAATTTATGTACAAACCAAAATCATTACAAAATTGGATACTGTAATTTTCAATTATCGTTACAAATTATGACAGAAAAATACATATAAATACATTTTTGAACATATAAGTATGAATATTTTTGAATTAATGATTATAATAATAAGTGTATCACATAAAACATCACAATTGCTAAATATCAATTATTATTACATACACCGACAAAGTATTAAAAAAAATATCAATATCATGATAGAAATTTCAAGTATTCCAATTAAATTAAATAGACACATTTTTATTTCATGTAATATCGATGTTTTCTATTTTGCATATTATTCTCAATTTAGATATGCTAATGATAATCCATATGTTAGAAATTACTTTATTACATGTTTTTATACTTTAAAAAGTCATAAATAATTGTCTAAAGACGTCGTTGTTACTTCGTAGCTAACAAATAATCTTTCAGTCATGACTTGACGTAGCAACTTTCAATACAACTTTAAATATAATATACCTTAATTGCAGCATGTAAACAGATAAAGTGGCTAGTGCCAATATATATATATTTGTGATAAAAAATTTGAAATTAAAAATTACAGTTAGAAGTTTCTGGCTTATATTAAAGCTAAAGTGCATAAAAAATGACAAAGTAAAAAATTTAAGCAGCAATAATACTAATATATTAATATAATACTAATACTAATAATAATACTAATACTAATATATTAAAGCATCGTTTTTTAACGACAATTTGCTAATTATATTTAATTTGTCGTAGAAATTTCAAAGTCAAGTCAAGAGCCAATAAGAAAGGAGAAAGGTGGAGGTTATTCCACGCCACCAATTTTCAATCTTTGATGTATCCCAACTTTTTCATAAGCAAAATTTTCGGAATATTTCCATACAGAATTAAGACTTCGTCTTTTGAAACTTCTAAACCGCGCTATATTCTATGGACTATTATTCTCTGCGTAATCTGTGTTTATGAGTTGACAATTTTGTATAAACTTAATCTGTCTGAAAAAATTAAAATAGATGTACCCAGGGTTATCTGGGAGAATTTCTCCCATTTATACGGATTGTTTCTGGCGATCATCTCTTTTGCCTTGAGTAATCCGCGAATGCGTTTACTACAGACTATATTAGATATTTCTTCGGAATTACCCCAGAGATCATATCAAAAATTATCTAAATTAATACACACTAAGGATGTTTTCGGTTTTTTCTTTCATTTCTGGCTAATGTTAACATTATATTTCGTATATTCTGAAATGATGGTTTTCGGTTTACTCGAAATGTCTAGAATTTTCATCAACTTGATGGCATTTCAAATGGATATGTTATACATAAATTGCGTTTGTGTCTTAAAGGCTTGTTTCAAAGAAATCAACGATAATCTGGAGACTCTGCCGGAGATTGTGATGAATAATCCTAGATGGATCTATCATGAGCAGAAACATCCGTTGCTGATAAAACTTAAGATTCTGAAGAAACAGCATCTGAAGATAAGTGACACAGTGAAGATGCTTAACATGATTTTCAGTCTGCATCTTCTCGTTACCATAGCATTATCCTTTAAGCAGATAATATTCTACTTGTATTTAAATGTAATACAATGGCAAAATGGGATATCCTTAAATCGAGACAGGATTTATAATGTGTTTTTCATATCAGTATTAATATATTTTTCCACAAAATTAACATTGATAGTGTGGGCTTGCGAAACCGGCAAAAATGAAGCGATAAAAATTAGCACTACCATTCACGATGTGCTTAATAGCATAAAAAATGTGCAAATCAAAGATGAGGTAGTAAAGAAGAATTTCACTTTATTTAAAAAGTTTATCGCGATTTTGATACATTAAATCTAAATAAATTATATTTAATTGATTTATACTTATAATTTCTGTTTTATAATCTTCATACTTATTATATTTTGATTTGTTGTTGTAGTTAAATTTGTTCTCCTTGCAAATACTGCATTGCAATAATACATTCTCCGCGAAAGGTCTCACGGTAGATGCAACGTTGCTCACTGTGGTGAGTGATTAAATATACGAGTAATTCTTAATTAAGTGTGTATTACTTATGTATTTCATGTTTTGCTTTTAGATCGTGAGTAGCGTTTCCATGTATCTGTTAATCTTAATACAATTTTTGATCTTGTCGCATTCTTGCGACAATAAGACAGATGCAATTAATTATACACAAGCAATTTAATTAATATAAATGCGTTCGAGAATTTTGAAAACTTATGATCTTTATGTGTTGAATGCTTTATCGTTGTGAGTATAATTGTCCAACGTTTTTATTTAAAAAAAATCATATATATACGTTCTATCCATGTATACTATCCATGTATACTATCCAAATAAAAATCTTGTATCAATAAAATCTTGTGTATTAATAAATCAGATTTTAAGACTTTATTTGTTTAAATGTACCGTACTAACATACAAATTAATAAAAATGTAAAAGTAATCAAATATTAACAAAATCAGTGATCGAGCCAATGACGGTTGACACTAATTTAAATAATTTTATTTATAAATCGATATACAAAAATATAAAAATCCAATAAGTCCGATATTGTATATTTCTTATTCAAGTTTCTGTCATCAGTAAAGATTTAACGAAATTTTCAGTCGTTATTGAAAGATAATAGACTAATTGTTGCAATAATAATTTTTAATTTTTAATATCTTATTTGTTCTTCTGTTTACTTATTATGAGTGTACATAAAAAATATAACAACAAATGAAAAAATAATTCTCTATTCATATATTTACAAAGCACTTATTAATTTCACACCAATCAAAATATATCAAGCAATTTAGATATTAGATCCATTTTAATCTAGGAAACAGAACTCACACATTACGAAATTATAGTGTTTCTGAAAATGCGTGAAGTACAATTTAATAATATTTTATAAAAAAATTTATTTTGTAAAATTTATTTTTACTTTGTAAAATTCATGTACAAGTAAAATCCAAATCATTACAAAATTAAATAACTATTGCACCTATTTTCCAATTATTATTACGAATTATGACAAGAAAATGCATATGAATATATTTTTGAATGAATACAATAAATATCTTTATATTAAAAGATACAATAATAAAGATTACATTAAAGTAGAAGATAATTAAATATCAAAATTATTATTACATTAACTGATGAAGACTCCAAAAAATATCAATATTATTAAGTATCAAAGAAATATATACATAATATATAAATTCACACAAAATAGAAGCATTTAAGATCCATCTAGACCGTTTAAGGCTTTGATTGCTATAGTTTGTGTATCACGTATGTACGATCCTATAATATATTATATTGTCAATATTATAATAGAAATATATCAAGTATTACAATTAAATAGAATAATTTCTATTTTATGTAATATCTATGCATTCTGGTTTGCATATTATTCCCAATTTAGATGTGCTAAATGATAATCCGTATGTCAGAAATTACTTTATTAGATGTCTTTATATTCTATGAGGTCATAAATAATAGTCGAAAGACGTGGTTGTTACTTCGTAGCTAACAAATAATCTTCTAGTCACGAACTACTATTCGATGCAGCAACTGAAACAAGCTTCAAATTTAATTTTATTCAATCGCAGTATATAAACAAATAAAACTAGTGATAATTCATGTATATTTGTGGTCAAAAGTTCGAAATTGGAATTGGTTCGAATTGGATTACACTTAGAAGTTTCTGGCTTGTATTAACACTAAAGTGCATAAAAAATGATAAAGTAATAAACTTATGCAGGAATTATTACTAAAATATTAAAATATTGTTCTTTAATAATAATTTGATAATTATATTTAATTTGTCGTAGAAATTTTAAAATCAAGTCAAGAGCCAAAACGAAAGGAGAAAGGTGGAAATTGTTCCGTGCCACCGATTTTCAATCTTTGATGTATCCCAACTTTATTATAAGCAAAATTCTTGGAATATTTCCATACCAAATTAATAGAAAAAAGCATTCATTAGTATACATTACATATGTGAAATTAGTGCTCATAGAAATGCATGCAGTACAATTTAATAATATTTAAATGTGTAAAATTCATGTAAAGTATTTGTTACAAA